TTGGAAAAATACATCGTATGTGTCGACCTATGTAAGTCATGTATCAACACTTTCAAAGTATGTGTTAGCCGTTATAGGTCATGTGTCGATTCATAGAAGAAAATTTTCTTCTATGCATCAACCTAAAACCCCACCACAGTCGGCACATCAAATAACGACTACATGCTTTAAAACTTGTTAACATGTGTACGTGTTGGCTCATAGAATAATTTTTTCTTTTATGTGTTGGTCTGAAATGCTTTATGTGTCGACTCATACATTGCAGAAGCTATAATCTTTAAAAATGACCCACGTGTATTAACTCATAGCATGTATGTGTCGACACATAGACATGTTTTCCACATAAAAACATATTTTTAATGCATGAAACCTTTTCTAAACCATTCATAAGTTTCCTAATACTAAGATGCACATTTAGACTCATAGAATACCGTCCAATATACATAAATGTTAAAATGTCGTAGTTTTGACATCATACAAAACATTATTCAAAACATTTCTAGTAGGAAGGTGCACTCACGAAAATCTCTTTTGTTTATGAGAAAAAGGGATATACACTATCAATGTAAACTAATTTGACACTGATAATCAATCAATGATTTGTATTTTGTTAAATCAACAATTTGAATTCCGCTTAATTAACACATGACATGCCAATCAACCCATTAGTCATGACAGTCGTCATGACATGTCTGTTATCCCCTTGCCAGACACTTGTCATCCAGGCGACAACTGACAGGGTCCTATGCTCTAGAGACCATGATGGTTCGCCTATCATCAAGATGACGATCGTCTGTTCTCTAAATATGGTAACGATCAAATTGCCAAGGTGGTGACGCTCGTCACCATTGTGCAGAATGCAAAAACAATATTTTCGCCATTGAAGCTCTTCCAAATCTTCGATTTTGATCCCATAATACCCAAATCACATAGAGAAATATTATCCATATCTACACAACATTCATAAAAATAATTATTCAGATATTAGCCACTCATACCATTAATTTATCACAAAATCAACAACTTATTCATCATGTTAACACATATATACATGAACACCAACATTCAAGTTTTCACATATCACGATACACGAATTTCAATAGTAAAATCAGTGCACGAATTTTTCTCAATCACAGAAATTGGAAAAAAGTTTTTGCACAAACCTTTTTCACATCCATAAACTCATAGTAGAGAAAAATACAAACACAACAAGGAAGAAAGTGAATATCCCTCACTATCCCTTATGAAATATACACCCAATAGTGAATAGTTTTCCCTACATGAATTTTGCAACAAAAGGTTAAATTTTCAGCAATGGTAGTTCTTCCCTCTAGGTGTGTTCTTCCCTCTAGGTTTCTCCTTCTTTTTCTTTTAAATAAAATCCTAAAATTATATTTTATTATTTTTAGTTTCCCCCTTCCACTTTTGGTCTATCTCTCCTTATCTCACCACTTACTTTATTATTCTATTTTCTCTCATAACTCATTGTTTCATTATTTTAATTAATCTAACAATAATGATAAATGATATAAATTTTACCCAACCTCATTCCAAAAAAAAAATATTTAAGCATATAAAACTCAATAAAATAAATTAATTTTAAAAACTAGAGCCTTACAACTATCCCCCACTTAAAGAATTTTTGCCTTCGAAAATTACATAAAAGAAATAATTATGGATAAGACTCCTTCATCCAACTTCCTAGCTCCCACGTAAAGCTGGCTCTAACAGGTCCTCCCCGTAGTACTTTCACTGAAGCAATCTTTTTACCTCTCAAGTGCTTCACTACGTGATCTTCAATCCTCAAGGATGATATCTCGGTGATAAAATCTCTCTCACTTGCACATCATCCAATTGCATCACATGGGATGGATCAGAATACTTTAGAAGTTGTTACACATGAAAAATATCATGAAGATTCAAAAGATATGGTGGTAATGAAACTTTGTAGACCACCTCTCATACTCTCTAGAAGATCTGATGTGGACTAATAAATTCTCACATGGAATGGAACAGGAATATACTTTAGGAATATACCTTTCTAAAAAATTCTCTTCTTAAGTTCTTGAAAATCTGACACACAAACCCTATCTTGGAATCTCATAACTCCATTCTCATTAACTTTGAAATCCACTTATTTACCTTAATTAATTAACATCAACCAGTTAGTCAATCTTAAATCTGATTTGTAGAACATTACTAGTCAATTTCAACATACATACCACCATACCTTGTGGCATAATTTCATACACTAATCTAAGATCTCTGAATTGTTCAATTAAGTTTATCTGTCTAACCATTAATGCAGACATATGCAAAGACTTTCTACTCAAAGCATCTGCTACAACATTAGCTTTACCAGAATGGTAACTCAACTCAAAGTCGTAGTCCTTCAAAAACTCAAGCCACCATCTTTATCTCATATTCAACTATCTCTAATCGAACAGATACTTCAAACTTTTATGATCGTTGAAAACCTCAAACCTCAAACCATACAAATAATGTCTCCAAAACTCGAGCACAAATACTACAAATGTCAACCACAAATCATGGGTAGGATAATTCCTTTCATGAATCTTCAGTTGACTAGAAGCATACGTTACAACCTGACAATTCTGTATAAGCACGCCACTTAAGCCCATCTTAGAAGCATCATAATTCATAAAAAAAAAAGATTTACTAGCATCTGGTAAAATCAAAATTGGCGTCGTCATCAACCTCTTATTCAACTCTTGGAAACTTTTTTGACACTGAGCATCCCATACATAAGCTTACCCTTTCCGAGTCAACAGAGTAAAAGGCAAAACCAACTTTAAAAACTCATATATAAACCTTCTATAGTAACTAGCCAAACTAAGTAAACTTATGTTTTCTGCAACATACTTAAGAGTCTTCCATTGTAACACCGCATCTACCTTGAATAGATCAATTGCTATACCACCAATGGAAAGAATATGACCAAGGAAATTCAGTTCTCACAATCAGAATTCATACTTGGATAACTTACCATATAACTTTTTCTCTTGCAAGGTCTCTAACATAACTCGCAGATGTCCTTCACGCTCTTCACCTGACTTAAAATACACCAAGATGTCGTCTATGAAAATCACAATAATTTAATCCAAGTAAGGATGAAAGGTCTTATTCATATACTCTTCGAACACACCTGGCGTATTAGACACACCGAACAACATCACTGAGTACTCATAGTGACCGTATTGAGTTCTAAACATAACCTTCATAATATTTTCAGCCTTCACTTGAATCTAATGATAGCTTGATCCTAAATCAATCTTGCTAAATACATAATCTTCAACCAACTGATCCATAAGGTCGTTAATTATATGAAGATGATACTTATTCTTAATTGTAACCTTATTCAGCTGACAATAATCAACACATAACCTCATGTTACCATCTTTCTTCTTAACTAACAACACCGACTCTCCCGACGACGATACACTAGGACTGAAAAACTTCTTCTCCAACAACTCTTCTAACTGTTTATTCAGTTCACTCAACTCTGACGCAAATATTCTATACGGTGCTATCGACACAGGACTAGTACCAGCTATTAAATTTATGGCAAACTCAACTTCTCGCTCTGGAGGCAAGTCACAAATATCCACAGAAAAAACATCAGGAAACTCACACACCACAGACATAACACTAGCCACAACATCGCTCTCCATCCTTAAAGAAGTGAACATCACGAGCACCCGCTCATCCTCCCTCTAAGACATCTCAACCTGACTAGAGAACATGAATGTCAAATTCGTACTCACTTCAGGTTCGGGAAACAACACAGTCTTGTCAAAATAGTTCATATAAACACGATTGAACTCTAGCCAGTTCATCCCCAAAATCACACCGAGTTAACTCAAAGGCAAACAAATCAAGTCAACTCCAAAGTATTTACCATAAATAGTCAACGGACAATTTAAACACACCAACAAAGTAGTCATCAAACTATTAACTAGGGTATCAATGACCATACTCTCAACCATATAAGACACTTCAAGATTCAACTTATTGACATAATCAAGAGATATGAACAAATGCCTCGTAACATTATCAATCATAATAATAAAAGAAACAACATTAATGAAACACATACCTCAAATCAAATTATTTAATCTCGAGACATCCACGCCACTCAGAGCAAACACTCTCCGATTAGCTTGCACGACAACTGACGCATTCTTCGATTTCTGAAAGTGGGTACCGATGTGACCCGATTCACCACAGTTGTAACAAGTCTGAACATTACTATTGCACTCAACAATACAATGTCCTTTTTTTTCACACTTAAAACACTTCTGACATGCACTCTTACACTCGACAACAAATTGATCCAACTCTTAAAACACTTTGGAGAAGTAGGAACTCATCCCCCATTTATCTCTTTTTCATCTTCAGTCCTATGTTAAAAAAAATTTTATAGAGTTTTTTCAAAACTCATTTATATAACATAAGACAAAATACCTATTAACTTTTTATTTATTTACTTTAAAAAAAGTTGTAATCATTAAACAATTGAAAAAAGCTTATAACAATTACTAGTAATTTAGAATATGAAACTAGGGTAATGCTAATTTGTACCCGTTAAGTGATTAATATAATAAAAATTTATTAAAAATTGTGTATTAAACTTAATATAAGTTTAACATTAATAATTTTATTGCTTTTTCCGATACTTATTTTCTATTTGTGGATTTTTTAACATGTGCCCCAAGGGGACAAGTTAGCATTACCCATGAAACAATTGTGCAAGCTGTCTTTTTTTATAATTTATTTTCACAACGATTAACTCGGGTTACCCAATTTTATTTAGGGGTAAAATAGGTATTCACTTTAATATAAAAAACCCAAGTATAAGAGAAAGTCCACAACAAGTTGAAGGGTTTCCGTCTGATCAAGTGTGGTTGTGGGGTTTTAGGGCGCAATCTTCTCAAGCTTGGAGAGCAGAGTTCACCTTCCTCAACTCTCATCCATTCACGATGGCCGACGATGACTACGAGGATATCGACATGGGGTTTTTCTCTTTCTATTTCTCTCCCTCATTTCATAATTAATTAGGGTTTTTCCTATTTGCTTCCTAGAAATTATTATTATTGAAATTGAAATATTTCTCATGATTAAAACTATGCTGATGATGATGATGATGCAGATATGAAGAGGAGCCAGCCGAGCCTGAAATCGAGGAAGGTGCAGAGGAGGAGGATCCAGATAACAAAAACGATGACATAGATGGTTTAGGAGAACCAATTGAAACTGAGGAGAAGGAAGATGATCAACCTGTTGAGCGTCCTCGAAGGACATCCAAGTATATGACTAAGTACGAGCGGGCTAGGATTCTCGGCACCCGGGCTCTTCAAATCAGGTTTTGCTTCTTTATTTTGTCACCCTAGGGTTTTGTGTATTGAATATTTGTAGTGCTATGTTTGAAGAGGTCAAATGATTGTGATTTTCAGATGAAATGAGAATAAGAAATTTTGAAAGATGGTGCTAAATAAGTACTGGAAATAATGAATAATACTTGTAACTTAATTAACAAGATTCTGGGAATGAACTTCCTTCAGTTCATAGTTGGTTAACAAAGAATTGCATTATAAGGCAAGGAGACTGCTTATGTTTTCACAATATTTCACGTGTTCCGGAAGGAATCTAATGCTCTGAGCATATAGTGAGCATATAGGATTTCAGGACCAGCTTGTGTTAGCCAAGCTTCTGTATTCCACATCTGTGCTAGATTAGACTCTGAAGTTTGATTCTTGGGTCAAGCACCATATGTTAACTTGCTGACATTTGGGTTAGTGTCCAACTTGTCCAGTCTGCGTCAAAAGAACCTAGAATAGATGCTGGTTCTGCTATGTTTGTCTTCACTAAAAGTGAACCGTGAATGATAGGGCCTATTATATACCTGAGTATTCCTTTTTACAGTTTCTCAGTGCTCTTTCAATGGATGTTGCATAAATTGACAAACTTTAATGACAATAGAATAGATTTCAGGCCTTGTAAGGGTTACATACTGCAATGACCCCAGCAACTTATCAATAGAGAGTAGGATCCTGTGTTGAATTTGCACCATATTGTGAGAGTTTACAATTAGTGATCATAGGATAGCTTGATAAGAGTGGAGATATTGTTAACCAATAGAACTGGAGTGGTTGTTGGGCTAGAAGTGAGGACGGGGACAAGAAAATGGCCAACAGTTGAATTCCATGATTGTTTCATTATACCACTGAATAGTGCAAAAGGTTCTATTTATACTAGTGAGTTCTGTATATGTAATTGTAACTGGATTTCAGTTACAGATGAAAGTAGCTATAACTGCAAACTAACCTAGCTGTCAAGCTTCTAGAAAGAAAACTAATGCTCTGCGCAAAGAGCTGGCTGAAAGTGAAACAAAGAATACGAAAACCAATATCCATATGAAAAATAACCATGACTAAATGGTCATTTGGTTAAGATACCCCTCACTACTAACTGCTGGGGTTGGTGGGGGATGGAATACTTACCAAGGCAATTCTCAAAAAGTTACTTTAGTTCTTTCTTTAAAATCTAAACCAATCATACTGTAGGTCTAACATGCTATTAATTTTGTCTTTATTGTTGTGCAGTATGAATGCACCTGTCATGGTCGAATTGGAGGGGGAGACTGACCCACTTGAGGTAATTGATCCTTTTGTTCTCTTTACAATTTGATACCTTTGTCACTGTCATAGCACTGCATCTACTTTTTGTCAAATTTCCAAATATATGTCAGTGACACCATATGCCCTTCATTTGAAATATAGAAAATGCTTTATTAAGAAGCTTCCTAACTTCTGCTACATTATTGATCTACTTCATTAAGTGGCGGACCATGACGTGCATTATACTGATGTTGGCCTTATATGCTCTGATATTTTGTTTATGGTCGACTGTTCAGTTTTACCGATATGTGCATTATGCAGACATACATGGAATGCAGAAGATATTTCAATTTCAATTAACCGATATTTTTAAGATGAGAAGATCAAATTTCATCGGAAACAGGCTTATCTTGATATTGTCTAATAATCTTCTTTTATAGTTCATATGTTCAGCTTGCATATTGTTTTTCCCACTATTGTCCATAGCCTGTCCTTTCTTGGCTTGAGTCCCTTAAAAAAAGTTCCGAACTTTGAAAATTAGAACATAAACTGGGTTATTATTTAGTTTGACACATGCTCCTTTTGATGTTTCATTGATGAAACATTTTAAGACTTGTGTAAGATAAGATGTCATCATTACTTTGCTACACTGATATGTTTGATGAGATTCTTGTCTTCCAATGTTGAATCTGACCACATGTCAATTTAGGAACTAAATAATCTCTTAAATGAGTAATGTACCTTGTTTTATTTAGAGTGATTTGTTATTACTTCATGTTGTCTTCTAAGTTTAGATTATTTCTGTATACGATTCATGAACATCCATGTTTTTTTTGTTAGGTTAGTAATGCTTTTTTTTTTTTGCAAAGGCAAGATGTTAGCTCTGCTATGGTTTTATATTTTCATTTTGTTTCTGTATCAGCTCTGCAATAGCAATGATATGTGCTTTATTTATTGTAATATCTGATATATTATTGCCCCAACTCTTCAGATTGCTATGAAGGAGTTAAGAGAGCGGAAAATTCCGTTTACCATCCGCCGCTACTTGCCTGATGGAAGGTAAATACTGTCCGTTTACTTCCTTTTTTTTTCCTCTCAGATTGGGGAGTTTAGGCTGATACATTCCTTCATCTTTTATGTCATACTTACCATTTTGGCAAAATTGTCCAGCTATGAAGATTGGGGAGTTGATGAACTGATTGTGGAAGACTCCTGGAAAAGGCAAGTTGGTGGGGATTGATGTTGAACTGCTAGAGGTGTTTATCCTAGATTTATGTGAAGTGAACACTGATGGATGATCCTACCATAAAACTGGCTTATCCTATATGTTTTGGTTGTGTGTATCTATGTATGTCTCGTTCCTTTTACTTTAACCCGGTATCATTTTTGTGTCAGCTTGTCTGTATATGATAAATCTCTAGGCTTTCAACAGTATAGGCCGATGTTTGAACTCTGAAGTGATACTTAGATGGGTTTTTGAACTATGAAGTGATACTTAGATGGGTTTTTGAACTTTGAAGTGATACTTAGATGGGTTTTTGAACTTTGAAGTGATACTTAGATGCGTGTTTGAACTTGTTAGTGATTTGCTTATACCTTGAACTTACTAGCCATTCTAAAACATCGTGTATAGATTTTGATTTTATGCACAACTTTATTGAAGTAGATAGATTTCTCATTTGTTTGGAACAAAAATGTTTGTCCAAAAAAATGATAGATGAGACCCTTCTACCCTACTTATTTATTATTTGGAGGCTTATGATCATTTTAGTAGGGTATGGTTCTATCATAAAAGAGTTATTCATTTAGACTTTACTTGAACCGACAAAATAGTGCATAAGCCAAAGGTGCACTATTCCAAAAACACTTGATTAGGTATGCCTATAAATGTGTTATATTGTCATAATTATACAGAAGTAGATGTTTGAATGGTCCATAAAAAAAAGTAATGATAAAGATATTATATTTTTATTCTTATTAAGTGAAATGAATATAAATTTCTGAAGTTCAATTTTAATTCATTAAAAAAAGGTTAGATTATAAGAGTATATTAAATTCTTCAATTTTAGTCTTTCATTTAGTTTTGGTTGGAATGTGCTTTCATGTCATGTTGATAGTGATATTTTGTTTTTTTTATTTAACAAAACATAAATCGTGGGAGCCGATTATGACAACAAATATAACATTTTTAAATTGATCTTTTCCTTTTTACGTGGTCCCATTTGCTCGTTTGGTGGAAGAATGGAATTTATGAGAAATTTAGTTTTATGATTTAGCGATAGATGAAGGTTTCGAGCATGTCTATATTTGGATTCACATGCATCATATGTTGGTTTACATGCTTTAAAGAATGAATTTAATGTTCAAATCAAATTTTTAGCACAATGTTGAGAACAATTTTAACAAAGTAACTGATCCTAATTCTTATTCCTTGTAAAAGAGGTTTGTATACTCATTTAAAAGCAAAAACAAAACAAAAAATGCCAAATGGAACTTAGATGCTAGACACTAAACATAACGAATCCTTCAAATACATCGATCATTTTTGAAGACTTATATATATACACACAAAAAAAGTGAAGTTTAAAATACAAGATTCTTAAAAGATATCAAATACTTTATTCGTTTCTTTTTTCTTTCTCAAATCACAATTCATTGCACCTAAATCCTTTGACAAATCATTTTTTTCTTTGGTAAAGAGTATACATATGGATTTCATTTCACAAGGTTCACATCACATGGACCAAACCTCACGAAGTAGTTGGTATCTAGCATTTGTTGTACTGTGACTCCCTTGCTCTTTGTAATTACCATTTCCATTAGTAATAACTGTTGGAGAAGAAGGAACCTTATCAATGATAGACGTAATCGGCGATTCAAGTTCCTCAAGTTCTTCGTCACTCGTATATCCTCTCCTCTGGACGACCGATACATTCCTCGCCAGGTGAGACTTTCCACCCGCCTCTGCAACTTTCTCCGCCACATTGGCTGAAGACGGAGGTGTATACGCAACCAGAGCTGCAGCATAAGGAAAGCTTCTAATGGATTCTGCCGACAATCTTCGCTCCAAAAAAGTCTAAATAGGAAATACAATTTTGTTAATAAACTAGCAACAAACTTATGTAGCTTTAAAAATGAAAGAGATGAGTATACCTCTCCATTCAAGGCCTCCAAGACAGTTCCTGGAACCGGGTCCGGACAGAACTCGTCCGGAGTGAAGTTACAAAGGACACGTATAATCAACGAAAGACTGATGGATGAACACACCTACATAAATAATAATAGTAATAATAAAAATGAGAACATAACAAAAAGAGAGAGTGATATGCCATAGAAGTATTCAAGTTATGAAATTAACCTCATGTCTAACTTGTTTTTCTATAAGCATGTCTTTTGGGAGCATTAGAAGGTCACTCAAATCGTTAAGGAGAGCAAATGATTTACGTTCACCGTCTCCGCCTTGCCTTTCGTCATTCTCACCGTTCTCCTGATATTCTTCTAGACAATCTTCAGCATCAATGCCGAACATATCAGTGAGCAATCTCGACCAATTGCCAACCTGCAGTTCAAGTAACTCTTCCATAAGAATAATCACTTGTAAGACACTGTGCTATCCAAGACAAACTCAAAAAGTAAAATGCGTACGGAATTTTTCAGTTGTGCACCAGATCCGAAGCTTAAGTTTCCTGCTGGAATTGGCAAAACCTTGGAATCGACAATCGGGTCTGATATAGGATCAGTTGGAATCTCATGGGCTGATTCTCGAAGAATGGCATTGAACATCGCAACATCTAGTCTACCTACGCACTGTTCCATTACCTGGGAGTGAATTTAAATCTACTCAAATCTTTTGAGGCTTAGAACAAAGGAAAGGGAAACTCGATACATGTTCGAGCAAAGGTGATTGAAAAAAAAGCATACCATTCTTGCCATCACGGGCAAACAACCACACTCGTGCCCTCCTGCTCGAACAGGACAGAGTCTTTGAAACGCGTCTTGGAAAGCGGTTCTCCAGAGATTGATGGAAAAGTTTCCTTGATTGTGATCACCTAAAGCAGGCCCTAACAGCCTTCCAATGGATTTATTCGAACACGAGTCCACAACCGAAGATTGCATATGAGGAGTCAAAGCCTGAAAGCATAAAACACTTCTCAATTTATCCCAGATATATCAGTTCATCACAAGATTCTCAATACAGGAGACATTTATACCTGCCACCACACTGACTCTACTAGCCGAGAAAAAATCCACGATTCCACTCTTTCTAAGGCAAACGTGAACGTTCCGGTCTCTTGCCAATCTTCACCGATCTGCATAAAACCGTTTCCTGACTTACCATTTGGGATACCTTTCCATTTCAGTGATGCAGACTTTCCATCATTCCACTTGGCAGACCCATTCGAACCAGCTAACCTCGTAATGGGACTAACTTGACACGAATTCCCAAATGCCTGTGAAATTATCTCCCTCAGCACAATGGTGTTTGACAACCAGAAAGTTAACCTGAATCACAAGTCATGATGAGAACATTTGTTGTTTTGTTTGTATTAATTCAAAAATAAAACTCGGCTACATTCATGTACAAACCTTGAAACATCATTACCGCAAGATTTAGCAACCAAAATAAGGCCAGAAACAGTGTTTTTGGCAATCGTGGCTTTCCTTTTCGGGGTCCAATGCTTACAAGCATGTATATAGAGCCTAGAAAGCCGCCGAGCAGGTGTGTGCACTTTGTGCGCCGAGCTTCCATGCTCTGGTACAATAGAATAAAGCGACACCTCAAGAGCAGCAACTTCCCTCAATTCCTCTTCAAGATTTTCAATTCGTGATTCCATTTCTTTAACTTTCGATTCCAAACCCGCCACATCCTCATGTTCACTGTTTTCTTCAGCGTTAACAATTTCAACACGACCTTCCTCTTCACTTCCTACGCTCTGAGCACCGTTTGAGGATCCATCCAAGATATCAATTTCCTTGACTTCTATAACAGGCTTTTCATCAACTCCTTCTGAAGACTCTGAAGAAACTTTAACAGGAACTTTCGCCGGCTTAGAATTGGTTAAAGTATTTTTGTTTGCGGCGACTCTCGAAGGCCCTTTATTCGAGTTTATCGGTTTCTTTTGATTGCTACCTGATACCTTTGATTGCAGTTTATTTGTTTTCCTATCAGATCTCTCCCTCGACCCTCGATTGTTTTCTAAACCATTCCCTTTAACCTTACTCTTGGGATCCTTTGAAGCTTTCTCTACTTTCTCATCTTCATTTGTGAAAGAATCACTATGAGATGATACCGAATCCTTCACCGTGTCGGTGTCCGATACTTCTCCATTCCCTTCCTTTTGCTCTTTCTCCAAATCAACAGAATGATTATCATTCACTTCACTAACTTTCATCTCAGCGAGCGCATACACAATCTCGTGTATAGTTTTTCCAGAGACTCAAAACAACAAAACTCTACCTGCAAAAGTAGTATTGAAGTGATGAAGTAAGTTACTACTAAATTCTAAATATATAATCTGAAAAAGGTATTTGAACCATTCATGAAATCACAATGACTATGATATCAAAGTAATCCTAAAATAGAGAAACCATAAAAAAAGTTCAGAAAGTTATCAAAGTACACAATTTGTAAGGACCACTATGTTGAGTTTTTCATTACAAAAATTGCCCCAAATTTTGAAGACCTTATTTAGAAAAGTGAACATGATTAAGATCCAATACAAGACAATGAAATTTAAGAAAGTTTCTAAAATCAAACGAATAAATCATAATCACTTATTTCTGAATAAAATCAAAACTCATATCATATCAGACATCACCATCATCATCATCAATCAAATATGCTCGCTAGCTGGCTATATTCCAATAATTTCAAAAAATTCCAATTAACAACTGTCTCTAACCTGTATAAGAAATCTATTTATTTTATTCTCACTTTTTGTTTTCACCATTAACTTTTGACCAAGCAAAAAAAGAAAGACTAAATTAGGATCTATGAATCCTACGTAAATAATCAACTGCTACATTTCCATAATTTCTTTCTAAACATAACAAAATTACAAAACTAAATACAGATGGCAAAAACAAAATGAATGAATGAAAAATGAAAAACCTGAAAGCAACGTCCCAAACACAAAAAACAAGTACAAAGAAAGAAACAAAAGTAGAAGGGATAAGATCTAGTGAAAATTGAGAGTGATAGTGTTGGAAAACAATACAAATTGAGCGTGCAGTGTTGTT